CCCAATCACTCTAATTATCCCCCCCCCCCCCCACTGAGAAATCGAACAAAATGACGATCAGTTTTCATTTTTTTTTCTTTTTTAAGAAAGGGCTATCAGTTTTCAAAATTGCATAGACAGAAGCAGTGCTCTTTCCTCTTCTCCAGCGTTAGACCAAAGATCAAGGTATCATATCCAGAAACCACTTAACTAATTTGTGCGCAATAGGAAGCAAAATCGTCCAGGACCTTGTGGTTGAATGGTAAAATGAAGAGTTTGAAATGTCAACACATTTTAAGTTCTATCCACCGGCCGAGGGAAATTAAGTCATATTGTTCTTGAAAATCTATACGAATATAAGTTTCTACATACAGTTCATTTACATATCTGGAGAGATAGTAATCCATATGATGTACTTCCAATTGGATAATTTAGGTTATTCGAATTAAAATATCAGTTTATTTGGATAATTTTTAATATTTGGAAAAACAATTGGGTAATTTATTTTTTTCAGGTAATTTGATTTTATAAATAGTATTTGTATGATATTTGTTTTTTTAATTATATATTATTAATATTTGTAGATATAGAATTTGTGTTTTTGTCATCGATCTTTCCTTTCATCATCTATCTCGCGACTTGATCACGGACGTTGGTAAATTAGCAAAAAGAACCCTAAGTGGTTTATGTGTCCTGTTTGGGCTAGACATGGGCCTGAGGCCATTTCTTTTCTTAATTAATATAAATTGTGTAGCAAAAAAAAAAAAAAATTGTGTTTTAAAAATTAAGGTACACATTCGGTTTTCAGTTTATTTCCAAGTTTTTGGTCCTAAGAATATAAGATTTGTTCGGTTATTTATACAATTCAGTTAAGTTTTAATTTCATTTTTGTTTGGTACAGTTCAGTTCCTCGGTTCCGGATAAATGCGCTTAGACCTATATAATGTCCTATATACAAATTCATAGAAAAATTATTTAATTTTATAAATATTTCGCATTTCAAAACGCGGATCAAAATCTAGTATCTTGAATATGTGGCAAGTTAGTGTACAACTGTTAGAAGAAATAAACCAGCATCTCTAAGCGCATATCATCAAAATCTAATGTGTATTGGCAAGCTGATGTACAACTATTAGAAGACTGAGCCATACTGGTAGATTATACTATCTTTCTTAGGTTTTAAACACTGTGTTAGGGTCCCATAACATATTAAATCTTACCTTATGAATATAAGGTTATGGGGAATATTGGAAAATGGAACTAGATATTGATAGAATGTGAAATCAAAGGTTAAGAAAATGGCGATAATGTTAGTTTTAATAGCAAAACTTAGTTATTTAAGCTATGAGTAGATGTAACCAATATAATATAGTAAGAGTAGACGTTACATCTACAAAATATTGTAACATCTATGTTTTACCAGGACATGTTAATTAATATGGTGAAACGTGAATAAGCATATAATAGGAAATGCCATATACTAACTTAGAGTATGTTAATATAGCTAGTAGATTGTACAAAATAAATTTATTTGTTAACTGTTAACTATGAGTGGTTTATATAAGCATCTAAAATTCTAAATCATTTTAATAAACTTAATAGATATTAATAGAGATTAATTAATTTATTAAATGTATATGAACAGCTAATATAATAGGAGTAAACAAGTGTTAGTTATCATGGACTGATGGTAACATCAGCAACAATACGTTAGTACAGGAACATCTTTTGCGGGGAATGATGAGAAATAGTTGGGAAAATTCATCATATTTGTGTATATAAGCGTTATGCCTTCAAGGGTCAAGTCACTACTTAATGATCTTGTGTCTTGACAATAAGCTTTACATGATAAGCGATAAGGGATTCAAGGTGATATGGCCCAACCTCTACTATAAGTACTCTGAAAGCCTCTCCAGATCCTTCTTTGTAGTTTGAGTTGATACAGCAACATAATCTTATATATAGAGAAACAGTGATTGTTGTACAGAGAGACATCTACAGCTTCACCATTAGAACTATAAGATTTTAACTAACATGTCTCTCTAACTTTTGTTTTGTGGGTTAAATAATAATTTACACCTTTTTAGGTCAAATAACAATTTTCTCACTTTTGTTTTGGTCAAATTATGGGGGTGATTAGTTAAATTTTACCTAGTAACTTTATCTTTAATTTTTATCACTACCATATAAATCAAATCACCAATCATAATTTAAATATTTTTTTATTTAAAGTTAAAAATAATAAAAAGACTATACAAGCCTTATTTTCTAAAGTAAAAAACATTGCTCTAGGATTTATGTAGAAATCTATCTTTTTATATTTTTCTCATTTAATATTTACAGTTACATTTGATACAATTACATCAAAAAAAAATTATAGACTACGAGGGCGCTTGGCAGGACTATAGCTGTAAAAAAATTAATGTAGAATTTAATCGGTAATTTTTTGATGTAGCTGTAACAATGTATATGTAGAAATTAAATAAGAAAAATATAAAAAGAAAAGATATTCTTACAACAATCATACAATAATAATTATTTGTTTTAGAAATTAAGATTCTTACAACCATTTTTTTACTTTAGTTTTAAAAAGTAATTAAAACATAATTAGTGATTTATATAGCTGTACATAAAAAATTATAGTTACAGCCCAACCAATCAACCCCTACATTCTACAATAAAACCTTTAGAGTTATAAATCCAACCAACCTCTCCCAGTATCTTGCCTTATATTTGTTTTGTGGATCAAATAATAATCTACATCCTTTTTGTGGGTCAAATAAATAATTTATCTCCTTTTTATGGATCAAATAATAATCTACCTTACTTTGTTTGGATCAGATAAAAATTTGCTTCCTTTTGTTGGTCTAACAATCATCTATCTCATTTTTGTTTTGGTCAAATAAAAGTTTAGCTACCAAGTTTCACAAATCTATTTTGTGCATGATATCTCAAAACCTCCTACTATGAGAGCTCTAAAAGTCTCTCCACTTTCCTTTTTATAGTTTGAGTTGATAAAACAACATAAACGGTTAATTAAACAACAAAATGAATTACAATAAAGTCTCTCCACCTTCTTCTCCTCCCTATTCACATGTTTGCTTTGGTGCGTGCCAAAGATCAATGGAGTCCCCTCAGAGACGTCAAAGATCCTTCCATCATAAAGATCGGTCAATTTGCAGTCTCCGAGTTTGACAGACTAAGCACATGTAGAATGAAGTTTGTGACAGTTGTTAGCGGTGACTTTTGTTTCCCCCCTCCGGTGATAAAGGTTACAAGCTTGTGGTGGTGCTATTGATGGTAACACCTGGGGTAAATATTGCTTGGCGTTCAAGTAACTTGCTGATACTAGTTCGATGGAGCATAAGTGTGCTTGAAGATTATTAAAATATATGTAACCATGGACCAAATCAGTCTGGTTTTTGTGTACCAATATAAACCAGATGTTGAAAGAAACTTTGTATAAATAACACAAGTCTATAATCAAACTTTCAAACAAGGCCAAGTTTATAATATTAACTAATACATGTTAAAAGAAAGAGTCTCAGTGATCAAGAAAACAACTGTGAAAAACATCAAAAGATACTTGGCCTGCTGTGAGTTCTCAGATACGTTGGTAGAATAAGATATACGCCTCAGAACGAAGAACTTCTTCAAAAGAAACCTGTCTTACAAAAGAATCGCTTGCACGATACCATATGTATGAATCTCTCTTCTCATCATGGTCTCCTCTTATGTACGCAACATAGTGACCTCTTCCCATTGTCCCTGAATGCTCCACTATCCCTGCCAACATGTAAACCGGCTGGTCTTCTTCTTCTTCTGTCCCCCTACAAAAAAAATAAAGAGAAAATAAGCAAGAGAGTGTCTGCTTTCTTATTAAACTCGCTAGAGAAAGAAAGAATGAGCATGCATTTACCTAGAGTCCATATCCATATATAGGCCAAGATCGATAAACTCGTTGAAACCAATATGGCCACTTAACTTGCTTAGCCTTCCGAGAGCATCTTGGCTAAACCTTTTGAGATGAATGGTCAATACAGGTGGTGCCTTGTTTACAAGTACTCTTTTACTTGCAGGGCTTCTTACTATCACTTCCTCTGAATCCACTGCATCACCATCATACATGGTCTTCAAGTTTATGAAATGGTTGAATAGATCATCGTTAAACTCATCAAAACCATTTTCATTCATCCATCCATATCCAAATCTATCTCTCTTTTCTCTCAAGCGTTGGAGCTTTAGGTTATTCGAACAGTTCTCACAGTGCCAGGCATTGTCTTTTGACAAAATCTCAGGCTTGGTGAACAGAGCCAGACAGCTTTCTACAGACACTGGTGAATCCGAATCATCAAGAACTTCAGCATCAAAGTTGCTTCTGATATCCATAAAACCAGCTTTATAAACTTTGGCTTTAGTTGGTGGTCCAAATAATGGTCCTTCAAATACCTCAGGCTTTTCAAATAACCGGTGACTGCCAGCACTATCTATCTTTTGTTCACGGTGGCTGCTCACAAATGATGAGGGAGCTTCACTCACACATTCCTCAACTGTTTCATCATTACAAAAGACGTTAGGCTCGTCCAAACACCAGCTAAAAAAGTCATCATAATCTACGGTTTTTTCATGTTGGCCGCTCACATCCGACAAGGAAGCCTCACCCTTGTCTTCTGAAACTGCTTTATCATCTTTACAAAACATAGGCAGAACTTCACTCACAACTGACAAGGGAGCTTCACTCTCACATTCCCTAACTGTTTTATCATTACAGGGGACGTCAGGCTCGTTAAGGATAACATAATCAATGGTTTTGCCATGGTGGCTGCTCATGAGTGACGAGGTAACTTCACTCTCACGTTCCCTAACTGTTTTATCATTACGGGAGACATCAGACTCGTTAAGGTCAACATTATCAACGGTTTGTTCATGGAGGCTGCTCACGAGTGACGAGGAAACTTCACCCTCACGTTCCTTAACTGTTTTCTCATCACATAAGACGTCAGGCTCGTCAAAACACCAGATAATAATGTCATCATAATCTACTTTTTTTTCATGGTGGCCGCTCACATCTGACAAGGAAGCCTCACCCTTGTCTTCTGAAACTGTTTTATCATCTTTACAAGGCATAGACAGAACTTGAGAATCTGCAACCAGTAAAGGAATCTCTTCATCAGCGAACGGGTTTGTAGATGAATAATTCTGGCTAAAATCAGGATAACCCCACACTTGAGCGTCACTAATCTCTGCTGATATACCACTTGAAGCTGTGTCATTACTACACTGCACACCATGTACTAGCGTTTCTGTGCTACCTACAAAAGTCTGATCAGCTACTTCAGGCTGTGTTAGTGAGGCAGTATCACTAACATCACCTTGTGAAACCAAATCGGTCTCACCAAAAGCTTCGAACCAAAAACTATCAACTTCTTCCGTATCATCTTGTGTTGCAATTTCAGGGACCTGCTTATTGTCAAGTGTCATAGCTGATACAGGTTCTGATGAATCTTTGCTGTCTGCAACATTCTTAAAGACATTTGTTGGTGGAAATTTAAATCTCTCTCTCTGAGAGAAGGTTTGTTTCTTACTTGGAGGAGGTTTCTTGGAGGGAACAGGTAAAGAGAGATCCAAAAAGGGTTCATAAACCTTTGAGGAGTGTCCACATTCCAAACAAGAAATGGTGCTTGAAACTTCACCACCGAATACAGAATCTACGAGAGTAGGTTTCTCACTGTCATCAGAAGCGTCAAGTTTTTTCCTTAGGCTTGATTCTTCGATGCTCAAACCATCCAGCAAACACCTTAGCAGCTCGTGACTGTCATGCTGCTGAAATCCCCTAAACTGAGGAGCCTTAGAACATAGGACACCAAAAAGGGCGCTTGGGTATATCACACGATTGAACAAGTTTGCTTCTGATGTTGCTTCTGTGATTAGTTCCTTTAGAGAAGAAACTAGAGGCCCGTCACAACAGAGATCCTCTTTTAACAAACGGTCACGTAACTGATCCAAAGAAAGAAGGTTCTGCAATACAGAGTTAAAGAAACATGTGTTCCCAAGGTTAACTAAACCTCTTACAGCATAACCTTTGATCTCAGCAGAGATACTACTTGAATATGAATCTTCAGCCTCAGTTTTATCAGAGTAAGTGCTTGAAGATCGTTCTTTAATCAGTTTCACAGCTTCTAGTAACAAATCAATCTTCTCACCATTCTCTTCTTTCTCAAAAGGGAGTAGTGACTGGCACGAGAAACACCATCTTAAGCAAGTGTATTCACATTGAATCACTATAGGGTGACGCGTCAACCTGAAGTGACGCATGACATGACTCTGAGCATCAGTTGGCAAACCATCACCTGCACAGATATACTGGCCACATTCCAAGCAAAGCCAAATAGCTTTCTTGGCATTAAAAGAAAACCTATTAACTTTCCCTTCACATCTTCTCTTCATGTGCAATCCTTCCTTGCATTCTCCACACTTGATTTGTTCACAAGCTTTCATCTTTTCCAACAACCTATCCATATCAACACATTTTTCAAAGTGGACACAAGATCTTCTTTGTTCCATCACTGTCACAACCTCATCTGTCTCTGCGCTTTGCGTAGTTACCTTCCTGGAGAACTGTTTCCCACATGGAGGAGGTCTACCTTTCTTTAACTGCTTCCCCATTCCTTACTAATCAGAAAAAAAAAAACAATTTGTACATAAAAAGTGCTAGCTTCATCAGTATAATTAATCAAATACATCATAAGAGATAATACAAACAGAGAAGTATCACAAGAACACAAATATAAACAGTAAAGGAATGACCTTTACAAAATAATTAGTAAAGATACAAACTTTAAAGACTACACAACTAAAGATCCAAACTTTATAGAGTCTAAACCTTACAGAGGTCTAAGACAACTGAGTTTGAGACTTCTTTTACTTAAATAATCAAAAAACACCAAACACTATTACTACTCAACTAGAACTTAATGGCTTAATAACAACCAAGAGAAACACAGATGCTCTACATAAGTATCTACAGGTTCTGTGAGAACGAAACGATGTTCGAAGATTGTGATCTAACCTTATTCAGGGTTTTGTAAAAGAGAATACAAAAGGGTTTGTAAGAAGTTTATTTTTTTTGTTCCCCTTGGGGAAAGAGAGTCGACGAAAGTATTTATAATCAGCGGGACAAAGAGAGAGAGAGACAGGAAGCGAGTCAAACAGACAAAGGGAGATGCACAGAAAATATAAATATTTTTGAGTTTTTAAGTTAAAAAAAAAAGTAAAGCTTTAATAGAATTAGGAGATTAAAAGGATGAAAATTAAATATTTCGGAAAGTAATATGCAAAATTTTTGTAAATTTGGAATATTTTATTTATTTAGTCATAGATATCATAAGAGATTTGTGACCAATAAATTCATAATCTACTAGATGTTTATCCGTGTATATAAACCTATCCATTTATAATTATTTTATAGTGATTAATTTTTTTTTTTTTTTGAAATTTTTTATTTATTATATTTTTTGTGAAAAAATATTTTGTACACTATCTATACTATTATTTAAGAATCAATTTTGCTGATTTGTCATACTCCCCATAATTTTAGGATAAATTATTAATTTAACTAATATTATTATTTAAAATCAGTAATTTTGCTGATTTGTCATATTCTCCATAATTTTAAGATAAATTATTAATTTAATTAATATTATTATTTAAATCTTATTTAATATATATTTATCATGATATATACCAATAATAACAATAATTAGATGAAGAAGTCTCGCTGAGGACAAATAGTTTTCGTTTTGGTTTAATCGTTTCATACTCTCTTTTTCCATTCCTTTACTTTCTGGTGAGTGCACACAACCATACACAGTAGGTTTCTTACGTAAGTTGTTCTTTTTGTCACACATAAAGTATGCTAATGTACTTATTTGAATCTGGTGTGCTTTTTTTGTGTTGGTAGATTGATGATTTTAAGTTTTTAACATAGCAAAGAAGGAAGAGGACATTGGGTTTTATGCTGGATTTGTTGGTGAGCCGTCTTCATATTGTTTTTTTTTTTTGCTGTTGATAACAAGTTCTTGACCACCTTAGACTATTTCAAGTGTTACAATGTAAACTTTATCGGACTCACAATATCTATTTTTGAAGGTTGCTCTTTCATCTTCATAGGAATTGCGTCAGTGTTAGTAATCTTTTACATTTTTGATTATTTAATTTTTCTTTTTTTTTGTTTCTTATCTAAACAATGCTTAAATTTTTTTCTTGTGATTACAAATTGAAGTTAAGATTAAAATCAAAGCATTATTGAAAATATATGTAATAAAAATGTAAGTTGTATATATAGTTATGCTAATATAATATATTTTAAATATTAACCAATTATATTGTAGTTTTTAGATTTTTATTTGTATCAAAAAGATAGTATAACTTTATACATTTTTACTCATTTTGTCATATTAATTAAAAATTATTACATACAACAATTTTTATTTATAAATTACGTATTAAAGTACAATTATTTTGGTATTGTAAATTTATTATTAAAATGTGTATAAAGTTTAAAACTATAATATTCTTGAAACATAGAGAGTATATATAAATCCACACAAGGTGCGAATCACCATCTAGTATTTATTATATATAAATGTCTTAGAAGTAATTCAGTATTATCTTTTTAATTATATAAAATTAAGAATTTTACTTGATTAATATGTATATGTGTTTTATGCTTTTTAACTTTTTATTCAAATATTTTTTCATATAACAACACAATATATTTAGAAATTATTTTTTTTATTTTAAAATATATTTTTTACTTTGAATAATATCAAATCAAAGACCTTGAATAATGCTTCTTATTATTGATTTTAATTATATTTCTAATCAAAAATTAAAATTCATTTTTATTTTGTAGTTCATTTTTATATTTTATTCATTAAAATATAAACGATATTAAACATTTTAACTTTCGACATCACTTCACAAATAATAATATAGATAGAATATATAATATATTAAGAATAATTAACGGATATTAAAACTTTGTTTAAGATTATTAGCCAAATCTGCAATTTGAACATCAGAATTTAAAAATTATAAGCTGCAAAAATATATATATTCAAATATTATTGCATTTTTTATTTGTTTTAACTTATTTTGCTACATAAAAAAAACGACCAGTTAATAGAGAAAAAGACAGTTTGTTTCTCTCCCCCTTTGTTTGGCGACGTCAATGGCGATGGTGGGAGAAGAAATTCTCTAATTATTCAAATCTAATCTAATCAAGATCAATTTCTATATTATATTCTCTTTTTTTATTCTTCTATTTCATTGCAAAGAGTTTCATCTATGGTGGATTAAAGTTTAATTTTTCTCTTTTTCAATCCACCATTACAATATCCGGTATAGTCTCTCTGACTATGATCGATGACAGCAAATCCAATTTGAATCAAAGATCAAGTGATAAGGAACTTATCCTAACCTACTTTGGAAACAAATCCCTTGGAAACCACCATGGTGTATCATCGTCACGGATTTGGAAGTGATGAAACCACAAAGATATTTAAAGTTTTTGAAGATTACAATTCAAAATTCTTATGAGTGGTTTCTCGCTGAAAATTTAATTTCTTTGTTTTATGGCGATGTTCTTATAATCGTTGACAATTGGCAGTTTCAATTCCAGTTTCTTTTGAAAAAATCAGTAGATTGGATTTTTTCTCAAAAAAATATATATATATCCTATTTGGAATCTGACCAATATTATACAACAAAGAAATTTTCGACAAAGAATTGAGAATATCTTCGAAAAGAAGATAACCAAATGGTATTGCATAAGAAAAAGCATGATGGATCAGAAGAAGTGTTCTTCAGATTTTAATCTTTGTATTGTAATGTTTTCTCTTATCTTTGCAACTGATTGTATTTCTGTTATTTTCTGTATTTTTATTGCAATTTGACATTTTATATAAATAAAATAGTTGTTAAAAATAAAAAATAAAAAACGACCAGTTACAAGTAAAAGCATCACAGAAATCGATTTCTTAAAATAGTGGCTTGAAATCCATGATTTCCAATATTGATTTTAACACCCATACAACTGTTTCGTAGTTTTTGCTTGAGTTGTTTCCGCCATTATTAGCCGTCACTACAAGCTTGTAATATTTCACATTGGAAACTATTTGAATATCGCCGCTAACAACTGTCACGAACTTTAATGTAACTTCATTCAATCTGGCATACTCTGAGACCGCAAATTCTCCAATCTTTATGATGTGAGGATCTTTAGCGTCCTTGACGGGACTCCATTGATCTTGTAGAGGCCTTAATGCAAACATGTGAAGAGGGAGGAGAACAAGAAAAATGAGAAAAAAGAAGATTGCCTTATTCATTTTGTTGTGTAAAATCAAACTTATGGTATTAAAAATCGAGAGATTTGAGGGCTCTTATAGTGACCTGGCAGTGGCTTCCTCTGAGATTTCCTGCACCTTATTGATTTCTGAAATTTGGTAGGCTATCTATTGTTTTACCACAAATAATAGGAAGGCCAGTTGTTATTTGACCAAAACAAAAATGCAATGTATTATTTTATTTTATTTTTCAAATGCGATGTATTATTAACTGACCCAAAAAAGAACCACGAATCAAATTATTATTATTTGGCCAAACAAAAAAAGATGTATAGGTTTGTTTAAGGTTAGGTAAATAGACCGAACCTGATCCGATAAAATGAATATGAATTGATCCAAATCCGATATAAATACCGAACGAATATTGTTTTACGGTATTTTAAGTTATGAGTTTTACCCGAACCGAATCTAAAATTAAATAAATATCCGATAAACCCAAAATTTCAAAATTTTCAAAAAATTGTACTATATTCAATCTCAGTTTATATATGTATCCAAAACACAGTAAGATGTTATTAAGTATCTACAATAATGAGTTATTACATAAATAATTAACTCAAATAGTTAATCTAATATATGTTTTTATTTAGTTAATTTAATTTTTATGTTTGATATTATATATAAATTTTAATTATGAATAAGTTTATTTTGAATTTTAAACAATGTTGTTATTTTAAAATTTAAATAATGTTTTACTTTTATAAATGGTTAGTTGTTAACTTTCATATTTTATATTTCATTATCTGTGATTTAAGCTCATAAAATACAACACATTCGGATAAGATTTCGTTATTTTAATATATTTTAAGTATTTTTAGGGTATAATCAAATATAAATTATAGTTTTAGAACATAAACCCGATTAAGATCGGAAATCCAAATTTTCTTTGATCCATTTCCAGGAGGATGAATCTTTCAGAAAAGAAAAGTTTGTAAATGCAAAAAAAAAAAAAAAAAGTTGTTTAAGATATAAAAGATGACACTTTCAGACACGTATCTTGTTTTTTTTTTTTTTTTGAAACATACACGTATCTTGTTATTGGAGCAAAAGTTAAAGCTTTTTCCTTTTTGTATTAGTTTATCAATCTAACCGGAGACTGGAACAAGAACTGATGAAGTTTCTTAAGTAGATCGAGAACTTAGCTCAGCAAGATGTTCAAAGTTTTTTTTTTTTTTTTTAAAAAGATGGTGGTTCAGCTGGGTACAAGCAACCATGCCATGTGGACCTGAGTAGCTTTGATCCGTTATCCGTCCACTGCCGTGAGAGGGAGGTGATCGCTGCTCTGTGAAACCAGCCTCACGCATTGCCCTCCCCT